AAAAAAAAAAAAAAAAAAGAAGATGCCATCAGCCAGCCCAGAACCACTCTCACTGCTGCTCACCATCAGCCACAGCGGACACCTCATCCTGCAGCGCCAGGATCAGCTTGGCCTCCCGAGTGAGGTACTGGCAGCGGCGCTCCTCATGCTGCAGCACCGTAGCAATGCGCCGGGACAGGGTATGCAGACAGTTGATCACAGAAGGGTCAGCGTTGGCCTGCAGGGGAAAAGCCACACAGATCTAAATGTGCCACAGGTGCAAAGGAAGTAACAGGCCAGGCACAGTAGCACTTGCCTGTCCTTCCAGCTCTGGAGGCTGAGGCAAAGGATCTCAAGTTCAAAGCCAGCCTCAGCAACTCAGCAAGACCCTGTCTCAAAATAAAATAAAAAAGAATGGGGTATAACTCAGTGGTTAAATGTCTCTGGGTTCCATCACCAGTGCCAAGAAAAGCAAAAACATGCACAACCAAAATTTAGACCATGAAAGAAACCTTCTCTACTCCTCTCCTCCAGGTGCCTCTGGAGGCCATGATTGCCAGAAATTTCCTATGCCCCTCCAGAAGCACTGGCTGCCAGTCCCCGTTCCCTGCTCCTGGGAGGGCTGCATGATGGCTGCACAGAGGGGGCTCCATACACATTTTACCATGCCAGGATGGTAAGCAAAAGCAGGCTGTGGCTAAGGGCAGATTCCACCCACCCACCTGCTGTGTAACCCTGAGTGGTGGGACAACAAGGGCACCTCCCTCAATGAGGATCAGACACATTAAGCACTCAGACAGAGCCTGCCCTAAGAAAAGCCCTGCAAGTGTCCACACTCAGCACTGTCCTGATGAGTATGCTGGACACGCCTGGCTACGTTACAACAGGGCACATGGTACTCTTCTGTCCTCAAGCATGAGCAGCTCTCCCCAGCTAACAAGAGGACCAGCAGGCCCCGGGCCAAGGCCCCTGCCCAGGGCTCCTTCTGCACCCACACTGACTAGGTGGAGGGAGGGTGAGGAGGCTCTCAGGAACAGAAGTGGACCCCACCCCCTCTGGAAGCTATCAGGGGCCACAGCTGGCCAGGCAGATGTATCCACCCAGGACCAGGGTGGAGTGCACAGCTGTGGGATCTGTGGAGCAGCTCCAGAGGGCAGATAACTGGGCCAAGCATGACCTGGTGGTTCTGGAGACCAACAGCAGTGCTGAGTCAGCCTGGGGAAGTGGAGAGAGGGTGCAAGACAGGTGGTGCCACTGATTAGAAATCCCTGTTACCAGCAGGCAGGATCAGACCCCTGGGTTCAGAGCTGGGTTCAAGTGTGGGGACCTTACTTAGACATTAGCACTTGGTTCACCTGCAGAATTCTAGGCTCCCAGCAGATCTATGTTCACACAGAGCCTGCATCTGGGCAGACTCAGAGAGGTAGCACTGCCCTCTCTCTCGAAGCCTCTTAACAGTATCCCTGATGTGCAGTGCCAATTTACAGGGCATAGGCCATTACCTCAAAACAAAGACACACTCAGAATCTGTGTAAAAATACACCAGCAAAGCAGGGGGATAGAGAATGATCCTAGACATACGACACTCCCTTCCATCACCCCAAGAGTTCAACCCTCTGCTGCCAGTGCTGCCAGAGAAGGCACACTGGCCTCCCCCCCAGGATCCCTGATGTGCTGACCAGGTGCTGCCCCAGGTGAGGTCCTAGACTGCACTGCGGGCATCTGGTGTCCTGTCTGCTCAGTCTTGAGAGCACCTGAGGCGTATGTGGGCCCAGCCGTGCAGGGACACGTGAGAAGCCCTCCACCTGGCACATGGCTGCCTCGGGGCTCTCAGAGTAGTACCCAGCTCACGGGAGTACCACCAACAGGCTTCTCATCCCAAATGTACCCCAGCTCCCAAAACAAACTTCCAATTTACAGGAAACAGAGGCAGAGAGCAAGCCTGATGGTCTGCACAGGGAGCCAGCTCCAAATGTTGAACCTGTGCTGGACCAAGGGAGGAGCTGGTAGAGACACTCGCCCGGGCATAGACCAAATGGAAAGCATGTCTGGCTTGGGAGCCCCAGCATGCCAAGTGCCAGTAGACACCAATGTGAAAAGTTGACACGGTAAAAAGGCGCTGTGGCACAAGGTGGGCGGACACGTTGTAGAGAGGCCTTCACAATGTGTAGGAATGAGAAATCATGAGGTCGGGCCTTTCTGTGAAACACAGGGGGAGGAAACAGATGCAAAGACTATGGGTTCTGGGACAGGTGCATGAAGCTGTCAGAATGTTAGGAGTGTTTTTAAAACTCCTCAAGGCGAACCAGTGTGCTCCCTGAGTGGCAGGAGGATCATAAGTCCAAGGCTAGCCTGGGCTCCTCAGGAAGACCTGTCTCAAAATAAAATGACAAGGGCTAGGGATATAGCTCAGTGCTAAAGCACCCTTGGGTTTAGTCCCCAGGACCAAACAATGAATAAAGAAGCCAATCCTTGCCTAGGGGTACATTTCTATTTATTTGGATCCCTTACTTTTTTTTTTTTGTACCAGGTTTTAGACCCTGGAGCATTCAACCACAGAGCCATATCCCCAGCCCTATTTTTGTATTTCATTGAGAGACAGGTCTCTCTGAGTTGCTTAGCATCTTGAACTCTCGATCCTCCTGCCTCATCTTCTGGAGCCACTGGAATTACAGGTGTGTGCCACTGCTCCCAGCTGAATCCCTTACATTTTGACAGGTTTAATAGAAAGGTATTTCCTTAACTAGTGAAAACAAACTCAGAAAGAATTGGTAACTGCCTTAAGAAACAATCAGGCTTAGACACGTGCAGTGGCCACACTTGTGATTCCAGCTACTCAGGAAGCTGAGGCAAGAGGATCACAAGTTCAAAGCCAGCCTCAGCAACTTAGCAAGACCCTGTCTCAAAATAAAAATAGGGCGAGAATGGTAGTACACGCCTGTAATCCCAGCAGCTCCAGAGGTAGGAGGATGGCAAGTTCAAAGCCAGTCTCATCAACTTAGTGAGGCCCTAAGCAAATCACTGAGACTCTATTGCTAAATAAAATATAAAAAAAGGGCTGGGGATATGGCTCAATGGTTAAGGGCTTTTGGGTTCAATCCCTGGTACCTAATGAATAAAAATAAAAAGGGCCAGAGGTATATCTCAGTGTAGAATGCCCTGGGTTCAATACCCAGGAAAAAGGAAAAGAAAAAAACAATTAGTTTTAATTTAAAAAGGAAGGAAGGAAGGAAGGAAGGAAGGGGGGAAAAAAAAGAAAAATAAAGAGTGCTGGTGAAAATGTGTAGAAGTGGGAACCCTTGTACCTTGCTGGTGAGAACGTAAAATGGTACAGCTGCCACAGCATACAGTTCAGATCTTCAGTCTCAACAAGGACCAAGGACCCAAACTTTCACTCCCGGATGTGTATCCAAGAGGCATGAAAATATGAACAGGAGCCAGGTGCAGTGGCACACGCTTATAATCCCAGCAGCTTGGGAGGCTGAGACAAGTTCAAAGCTAGCCTCAGCAAAAAGCTAGACAATAGGGCTAGCTGAGACTATATAGTTCAGTGGCAGAGCATTTGCCCAGCACATGTGAAGTACTGGGTTCAATCCTCAGCACCACATAAAAATGAACAAATAAGGGCTGGGAATATAGCTCAGTTGGTAGAGTGCTTGCCTTGCATGCACAAGGCCCTGGGTTCAATCCTCAGCATCACACACACAAAAAAAGAACAAATAAAATAAATGTATGCTGTTCATCTACAACTACAAAAAAAAAAAAAAGTAAGGCACTAAGCAACTCAGTGAGACCCCTGTCTCCAAATAAAATATGAAAATAGGGCTGGGGAAATGGCTTAGTGGTCAAGTGACCCTGAGTTCAATCCCTGGTACCAAAGAAAAAGGAAAAAAGAAAATGTGAACAGGAACATCCCCAGCAGTATCCTTCATTGCAGCCAAACACCCCCACACTCTTTAGTGCCCAGCAATGGGTGAAGTGTGGTACAGGCACAAGTCACTTGTGATGGCCACAAAGAAACATGGCTCACACACCACAGAACCTGCCAAGTGGACCAAGGCTAGAGGCCAGGCCCCAGACGCACAAATCCCTCTGTACGCAATTCAGCAGTGAGTCCACAGAGGCAGACCATAGCCTGCCAACCCTGGACAGAGCAGAGGAGGGGGCAACAGCTGGTAAGGACACAGGGGTCTCTCTCTGGAGAGTGAAAGCATATGAATCTGGACAGCTACCAGGCTGAGTGGCAGATAAGAATTCAGTGCCTCTGATGCCACTAACCTGGACCCTTGGAAATGGTAAATATTCTCCTTTGTATTGGGAAAAAAGAGGACCACACAACAAGGCAGACTCTGCCTGCATGCCAGGGAAGGTGAGCGCAGTGCCCACCACAGTCTGAGCAGTCATGACACTCACCCGAAACGGGCTGCTTCCTGCTCTACCCTCCTCCCCACCCAGGTTGCCTACACCAACACTCACCCTCAGGGCGAACACCACATTAAAAAGAATCATGGTAGGCGCTTCCCTCTTCGGGGATGGATCTGTTTTGGAGACCTACAAAAGAGGCATGATTGCAATAAATTGAGAGCCATGCATGGGAAAGACCCCAGAGACTAGCAGAAGAGGAAAACAGCTCCCAGGTCTTTGAGAAGTGACTGATGCCTTCCTTTCTGAGGAGCACCGGCTGCACAAACAGCTGTGACAAGAGTGGGGCGGTCAACAGAAGGAAGCAGAGTGACAGGATGCAGAGGGACCTGGGAAGTAGGGGGCCCAGACCTTCTCTGATCCTGAACTCAGACTTTCCCACTTCTATTCCACTGCCAGCCCCAGGGTCCACCTGACCTTCCCAGTTGCTTCTGCCAGGCATGACAAGTACTCAGGCCCATTTAGGGACAGGACAATGCTCAGGACCAGCAGAGACCTTAACAGGCTCAGAGGAGAGCTCAGAGGAGAGGCTCAGAGCAGCTGGCCCCATATCAGAGCCCAGTCCTCATCTCTGTTCCCAGCTCTGTATCCACAAATGCAGAAGCACTCCTAGGGCAGGAACTCTGCAAATCCAACCACAAGTGACACCACAAGGGGGAGCCAAAGCCCCAGACTCCCTGCCAGTCATTCCCACAGGCTGGCTGCCAACTCTTCCACCCACCACCCACAGGCAGTTCCTGGGTTCAACCTCCAGGACCATCAAAAACAAAAAAAGAAAAAAATAAATAAATGCTTGCACCATTTTTAGAAAGCTCAGGGGGTGGCAGATGCTAGTCAAATTACTCTCTTGGATTCCCTAGAAAACAGGTAACTTGTAAACAAAGAAAGCCACGTCCACAAAGACCCAGAGTGCGAACAGTAGAAGCTGACCATGGAGGGGAGCTGGGGGCCAAGTGCAATGCTCTGGGCTTGATGCCAGCATGGGGCAGTGGAGACAGTGGCAGAGACAGAAGCACCAGGGTGCCTTGTGCCTGCTGGCCAAGCACAGACCACTGGCAAGGGCTCCTCACTTCTCTGCTGGACCCCCAGGGTCTACAGAGGTGCACACTCACGGCAAGTGCCTGATCAGGTCTGCTGCCTAAAAGTCACCCTCACTAGAGCCAGTGTCAGCACCATTCTGAGCCTCATGAGCCCAGGATGGGCCAGACCTACCTAGGGAGAGCCCTACCTGCCTGACAAGGATCACAACTGACCAGGGAGGGACATACCTGCCCCAGAGCATGCTGCAGCAGTGTCGGGTGCCCAACAAACCGCACATTATCTATCTTCAGTTCAAATTTTTGGCCACACATTTCAGATTTGGTTGCCAAAATTGTTGCCAAAATAACATCTGAAAACCTTAAAGATGAAAAAAGGTAAAACAGAAAATAAGGTTAACCAAGGATCAAGACACCATGCCCTATACCTCCAGAGGGGAGGTCTCTGTGAATGGCAGTCATGTGAGCTGCTCTGCCCCAGTGGCTTTCTTGTAGCAATCCCGAGGTTAGGGAGGCAAAATCACCAAAATCACAGATAAAAGGCATGAGAAGCAGAGGTTGGAGGCACATGCTATCATCTTTACATGCTCTATGAAATTAGGAGAGGAACAGCTGCAGTCTGCATTTAAGAGGAGGATCGGCTGGAGCTGGCACTGTCCTAAGGAACAGTTCAATAAGCCTCACAGGAATAGGGGACCCTCCCAGCAGCCACTGGGCTTGCTGGCCTGCACCCTTGACATGGAGCAGGAACTGTGCTTTGTGGTGCAACTTCTCTGATCCTAAACTCAGACTTTCCCACTTCCATTTGGGAAGGACAGTGCAAACCCATCCTGTCACGGGAGCACCGGGATGCCACAGGGAGGTGGGAACAGCCAGGGCATGGGAGCTTAGCCATTGCAAGGCACACCTATACCCTTGTCTCCCTTCTGGCAAACTGGCCCCTCCTGCCTGGGGACTTGGATAAGGGAGATGGTCTGCAGGGAGGGGCACCTGGGGTGCATCATTGCCGCTTATCTCAGAGCCCAGGGCCTGGCCTCTGCTCTGGAATGGGTGTGCTAGACCATTGCTCCCACTGCACCGAAGAGTAGAGAGCACCTGCACTCTTCTACACACCAAGGAAAGCACTTCTAACATCCAGGAAAGAGGGCATGGTGTCTCAGGGAAGGCTTTCCTGCTGCCCAGGAACATGTTCTGCCCCTGGGCAAGGAATCTCACAGTCCTGACAGGCTACTAGACAGACTTGCAGTGTGTACCTCGTCATGCCCTCCCAGAGTGGGGACCATCGTTGTAAGCCCTCTGTTAGAAATGAAAAATGAAGGGCTGGGGATGTGGCTCAAGCAGTAACGCGCTCGCCTGGCACGCGTGCGGCCCGGGTTTGATCCTCAGCACCACATACAAACAAAGATGTTGTGTCCGCTGAAAACTAAAAATATAAATATTAAAATTCTCTCTCTTTAAAAAAAAAAAAAAACGAAAAATGAAGGCCAGCTTCCAACAGTGATTGTAGCCCCTCTCTGAAAGAGCAGATGGCTCCAGATAAAGATCTGGGGGCCATGGATTCCAGGAGACCCTGGACCAAGGGCCTTGCTGTGGCCAACTGACCAGGATGAAACGCAAGACAAGTACCTGAGTTCTCCCAGTCTCCTGGGCCAGGGGCATTCCACTGCCAAGCCAAAGGGCTCATGATGTTTCCAGCCTTCCCTCCAGAACTGGCAAGACCCTGTGGCAGTCCTGGGTCACCCTGAGCACACCAACACAGAACACAGGCCAGAGGGGCTATATCGAGGTTCCCAGACTGATCTTGTTAGAAACATCTGGGGCCCAGACGTGGTGACGCACACTGTAATCCCAGTGGCTGAGGCTGAGGCAGGAGGGTCATGAGTTCAAAACCAGCCTAAGCAACTTAGGAAGACCCTGTCTCTGGGATGTGGCTCAGTAGTTAAGCACCTCTGGGTTTAATCCCAAGTTCAATAAAAGGAGAAAGAAAGAAAAGGAAGAAAGGAAGAAAGGAAGGAAGGAAGGAGAAAGAGAAAAAAGGAAGGAAGGAGAGAGAGAGAAAAGGAAGGAAGGAAGGAAGGAGGAAGGAAGGAAGGAAGGAAGGAAGGAAGGAAGGAAGGAAAGAAAGAAAAGAAAAGAAAAGAAGAGAAGAGAAGAGAAAAGAAACATCCTGGGATATGCAGGACCTGCACTGGCATGCTTGGTCTCTGCTTCATTGAAACATTATTCTCTGGAGCAACTAAAGCAGACACAGCAGATCCTAGTGTCTCAAACCAGAGGCATCACAGGTTTTCCTTAAAGACTCACTCTGCCCTGTAGCTCCTGTCTGAGGCACAGTGATGTGAAAGGCGGTTCAGAGGATGAAATCCCTATACCGCTCCTGCTTGAGTAGCTGACCCAGTGTCAGCACATCATGTCCCATCTGAACAAACACCCTCCACTGGGTGGTAACCCAGGGACTAGGGACTAGCAGACAGAAAAGCAACCCCTGCCACTCCAGAAAGCTCACTTCTTCCTTCAATAGCCTAAAATCTCCACTAAAAGTTGTTGCTCTGTTATTAAGAGCTACAGGCACACAGCCTGGGCCCTAGCCCTCAGGTACCAGTCCAGGGACGCAAGCTACATGGCTGAGTGATGATGGGTCCTGGGATCCTCAGGCAAACAGGAGTAGTTCAGCTCATGTCTATAAAACCCAAATCCCAAGTGCCCTGCAAGAGCCAAATCTGCAAGAGCCAAATCCTGGCTGCCAGGGTCCACAGAGAGTGCCAACTGGAAAGTCCTGTGAAGCCTAAGTTAAAAGTCACACTGCCCTAAGTGGCTGTCTGGGGAGACCCCTCAGATGGCCCACAGGATGACAGCTGGCCACTCTGCTCATCTCAGCAAGTTTGCCCCCCACAGAAACCCACTTGCCACAGCTTAGCACCCATGTAGATGAGAATCTGTGTGGCTTCATACCTCAGATGGGGCCTGGTGCAAGGAGCACAGACACAGCAGTGTAATGAGATTGGGGGACAACTCACAGTTGCCATAAGCAAGTGGCAACAATTGCTTGTTGCTTCCAAAAGTTACAAAATTCTTGCCTGTAAAAGCTGGTAAATGTAATACATTAAAACTATTGTTAGGGGCTGGGGACATACTCAGTTCATAGAGTGCTTGCCTTGCATTCACAAGGACCTAGTTTCAATTCCCAGCACCACCCAACAAAAAAATAAATAAAAATTGTTACAAAAACTAAGGACCTCTGGACTAACTTGGAAACCCAAGAAAAGCTGGCTTAGGAAGCTCTACCAGCCCAGCCAGATGACAAGCCAGATTTTCTCTCCTTGCCAGACATTCTGGAGAAGGGCTTGCTCTCTGACTGGGCTAGAAAGGAGCAGGCAGCCTGGAAGGGATCTCAGCTCTGCTCCCTGCCTCCCTGCTGGGAGTTCACAGACACTAGAGTACCTCCAAGGCACAGGAGGGACGCACTGTCGGGGGCACAGGGCCGTCCCATCTCATCCCTGCCCTCCTGCAGTAATTCAGGATCACTCCCAGGAACGTCTTTGCCTCTGTGGGGCTCAGCCAATAACATTGAAACCCAAGCATCACACCTGACACTATTAAGGGCCCTGAAAACCACAGACTAGAAGCCACAGCCACAGGTCTCAGTGTGGCAATGGGCAGGGAGGTGAGAAACCCCACTCCTGCTCACCCACCACCTCCACAGGACTACTGGCTCCTCCTTGAGGGAGGAAGAGGTTTGAAGGCACACCTGGTCCCAAAAGACTCTCTGGTGCCACAACCATGTCTTGGCCTCTCAGACAATGTTAAAGAGCTAAATAACTCTGGGTGGAGAAAGGGCAGGGACAGTGGGGAAGCCTGGGCTCTTGTGGGAGGACAAGCTAGGGCCTGTGTGCCTCGTTAGTGATTTTTTTCAATGTTGAGTGAAAACAGGAATTAAGCACAATTACAAGAAGAGAGGGCAGCCAGAATCAAGACAGAAAGATGGTGGAGAGGTCTCGGTCTTACCCTGCAACCAACTGCTCATCGGTTGGAGGACATGGCTCGCTGAAATGGGAACAGGACCATCAAGACCAAACAAAAGCACTGCTTTACAAAACCATGAAAAGTTACAAGATTATTTTTACAAAAACAGTATTAAAGTCTAGTAGAAGCACCACCATAAGCATTAACTGCTAATGTCAAGACTAGGCAGCTTACCAGACAAGAAAGAGGACACAGGCACTCCTACTTATCCCAGGGCATTCTCCCTGAAGTTCAAACTCTTACACATGTGTGCAGGCTGTGGGGAACAGGAGTCTCTTCCTTTCTTTCTTTTTTTTTTCTTCCTGTGTGTGTACAGTACTGGAGATTGAACCTAGGGGCACCCTACCACTGAGCTACACACCCAGCCACTTTTATGTTAACTTTGAGGCAGGGTCTTGCTAAGGTGCACAGCCTGGCCTTGTATTTGCAGTCCTCTTGCCTCAGCTTCCCGAGCAGCTGGGTCACAGGTGCCCACTGCACCAGGCAAGAGTCACTAGCCTTTTTTTTTTTTTTTTTTTTGTGGTGCTAGGAGTTAAACCTAGGGCCTTATGCCTGCTGGGCAAGTACTTTACCAACTGAGCTACATCCCCAGCCCAAGAGTTGCTTTTTAAAAAGAAGCTCAACACTGGGAAACGTATATCAGACACCAGGGCCATAAGAATTAGCCAGACACCTGGGCACAGTATCTCATCTTTCCAAAAGTGGATTTCTCCTCTATATGACAAGAAATTATCTGTAGAGGACAAAATGGAATCACCTAGGTAAAGCTTTCTGAAAACTGAAGTACCAGGTGAACGTCGGCTCCCTGAGCTTCCACCTGGAGAGCCAGCTGGGCATGTTAGGTTCATTTGTGCAGAAAATATCTGGAGCTTCTGCACTACCCAACCTGAGCTTTCTAGAAAGAGTTTAAGAATTTATGTTTCTGGACAGAGATTTTTATTCTGGGGCATGCTGTTTTCCAAGTATCCTAAAGACAGAAGACACTCACACCTGGGAGTGGAAGGGCACCATGCCCACAGTGCTCCCTGCTACTTCCACACTGCCAGAGACCCACCCAAGAAACACAACAGTGAAGCCACACCTTAGCTCATTGGGCTGTGCAGTGCAAGAGGTTACGATACCTTCTGAAGGCTGACCAGAAAACCAGAATCCTACCAGATCCAGTCTGACTCAGATGGACCTCCTGCAACTAGACAGGTTGCAATGCTACCTATATCTCCAAAGGCACAGCAGCAAGCACACAGGGCTTCAGGTGTGGGCAAGGTTCCACTTCCTGACAAAGGCAGGATGCTTCCATGCCATCCAGACTAGTGGGAGAGAGCAGGGCCCAGCCACCCGCAGGAAACTTACAGAAGACACACAAAGGCTCAACCTAAGGAAGGTACCCAAGTGTGCAAAGTTAGAATGGTACTTGGAGCCTGAACTTGTCCCCAGCAGGTGCCCTTTACTGTAAAACAAGTAGCCAGAATGGGGAGAACGTGGCCCTCTTCAAGCACCTCAGGACACTGTGAGGCAAAGCTACCAAGAGCCACCAAAAGCCTGGTGGAGCTTCAGGTGTGCCTGAGGTGAAAGCAGGTGAACCACAGGCCAGAAAGAACTGGAGCTGGGCTATCTGGTGACAGCCCAATGGCACCCAAGGCTGGACTTGCTGCTGTGGGGCCAGACCCAAGGAGGGCAGAAGTACCAGCTGACTGCACCCCACCAAAGGCACCCGTGAGCTACAGGCACCGATGGAAGCCCACCACAGCTCGGGGGGGTGGGGGGGTTCTTCTGGACAGTGTCTAAAGCACAGCTTCCAGGAAAATTTCACACCAAGAGGCCCAGGTTCCTCCAAGTCCCTGACTCCCCAGGAGGGAGTGGCCAGAGTGCTGCCGTAATCTCAGAGGGCCAGAAGACACCATCTCAGGAGAGGACCTGCCCATACCAGGCTAGTGGCTTCCCCAACCAGTGTGGGGCCCCAGGGGACACGGCAGCATGAGCACCCCAGCCCCTGACACCCAGTCCACAGGAACATTGCCACTTTTATGACCTTTAACTGCAAGTCTCAAGACACAGGATGGTCCCCATTTTCTTCAGTTCCCACTGAATTCCAGAAGAGGGTTTTAAACAAAGGAGTAATAGTTAGCTCCTACCCCTGAAGCCTATCTGATGGTACACCTGAAAAACCAGGAATGCTTCTGAGGAGCTGGAGTTTTTACTCTATTCAATTTCAGCAAATCTCCATTTAATGGCTGTGCTGGTCATGCTGTGATGGTGAGCAGCACTTTCTGTACCCTCACTCCCCTAAGACCACGATCTGGCAAACTGACAAGCAGGAGCATTCCAGGGTCCCAGAGAGAAAAGTAACAGTTGACAAGGACAGGGGGTGGATTTGTGGAACTGCTACACCACCTCAGGAAGCTGCTGAGCTATGACAGGAAGGAAGAGCAGGGGCCTGGCAGGTTCTGGAGGAGACCAAGCAGCAGGGACTGGGTGCCCAAAGGACTCACCCTAATGCTGAGAACAGGAGGTCAGCAGACCTGCATGTGCTACATTACCAAGCAAAGCCCTTCCTTTTTCTCTCTGGTAGTACTGGGGATGGAACCCCAGGTCTTACGTGAACTAGGCAAGACCCAACCACTGAGCTACAGCCCTAGACCTAAATGAAGCAATTCTTAAACTAATAAAGAATCTTCTGAAAAGAAGCATTCTGCTCCAGGGGTTTCCGTCTTCACTATGTTAAACACTGAATGAACTCCCTAGAAAACATCTTATGGTTATTATAAGTCTCTGAAAATTAACTGCAGGAATTGGTGTACCATCTTCTGAGGAAATCCCTCCACCCAGACTGTTCCAAGATCTCTGCACCTTCAAACCAACCCTTGTGCTCAGTGAAGTTTGTGAGGAGAATATGGGAGAAGTGTGCACAAGAAGCACCTATTGAGTGTGCAGGAGTGAGAGCTTCCCATGTGCCTGTAACACCTGAGTTTGTTCCAGGCCATCACCTTAAAGAGCAGGACAACCACAGGCCTCCACATGAAGGCTCCCTAGAGAGCCCACAGTCCACTACCCAGCAGCCCCAGCTGGCCAGCCAGTCCCTCTTCCAAAGCTCACGCTCAGGTCATGTCATAGGCCCCCACACCCTCATGGAGGGTGAAAGACTCTCGGAACTGACCTCACCATGCCAGTGTGCGGCACTGTCAGAGAACCAGAGGGAGTGGTACTAACTCACCGCACAAGGTCTCGGAGGCCCAGCCCTGCACCCCACACAGGCCTGTCTGTGTCTAGGGAGCTCAGGGTAGGTACTTTACAACCCTGCCTCCTGCACCTGGGAGCTTCATTTTAACTTTTAAAATGAACATGAGAAGGCAGAAGTGGTCATTTATGAAGTTTCTACCCTAATAGTGTCTCTCAGAAAGAGCAGCAAAGCAAACTTGGGAAGGAGCAGGATTCACCTTTCTGTGACCCTAAAGAAGTATTGAGGGTCAGGCCAGCCCCAGGTCCAGCACCAAGAGGGACCTGGCTGGCTGTGCTGTACCTGAGTGCCTACATCTGAACTCAGGCAAGTACTGGAGGAACCAGGTGTGTGGACAGCAAAGGGGTCTGCTTTCCTCTAATAGGAGACGAACATCCTTCACAGACACAGCCCCACCCATTCTCAGACCTACTTTACCAGCCACACAGCCCATGACTGGAGCAGGTGCCCAGAGTTCCCAGCAAGCCAAAAAGACGGGCAAAGTAACCATCAGCTCTGCCCTACCTGGAAGCAACCACCAAGCAGAGAGAATACCAGACTTCTCAGGGGCCAATGTATGCATCAGAGGGAGGGCAGGGCTCTGCCCATGCCTAGGAGCAGTACTCCATTCATGCCCTCAGCACCTTACCTGGAGTCACCGTCCTGGTCATCAGCATGGTCACTCGCGTTGTTAACAGCATATCTGCTACGGGGCTTATCTGAGTGAGCAAAAAAGGGAGAATGGCTAAGAAAGCAGGATCTTACCACATTCAACTGTGGATTCCCTAAGATCTACGGTTTCCAAAACACAGTGCATCCATGCAACAGAACAGCATGCAGTCACGCAAAGGAATAAGCATATGTGAATCTTGCAAACATTATGCTGAATGAAATAATCCAGATACAGAAGGATGAATGTTGTAATTGCACAGAATATTGAGAATAAGTAAATCCAGAGAGACAGAGCAGAGGTCAGCAGGGGTTGGGAGCAGGAGGCAGTGAGTCACTGCTCAATGATTACTGTTTCCACGTAGAGGCTGACAAAGTTTTAGAAACAGAAAACAGGAGAAGGTGCACAATATAACAAATGTAATTAATGCCACTGAATTATACACTTAAAAATGGTTAAGATTGGGCTGGGGCTGTAGCTCAGTGGTACAGCACTTGTCTCACAAGTGTGAAGCACTGGGTTTGATTCTCAGCACCACATATAAATAAATGAATAAAATAAAGGTCCATCAACAACTAAAAAAAACCATAAAATAAAATAAATGGCTGAAGTGGCAAATTTCATGTTTTATATATACCATAAATATTTTTCAGAAAAAAATGATGGTTTCCAAGAAATTATAACAATATAGGGAGATATTTTTGCGATGATGTTAATTCTTTTTTTTTTCGGGGGGGGGGGCTACTGGGAATTGACCCAGGGTGCTTTACCATTGAGCCACATCCCCAGCCCTTTTCTTTTGAGACAGAGTCTGCTAAGTTGCTGAGGCTGGCCTCCAACTTGCAATCCTCCTGCCTCAGCCTCCTAAAGCACTGGGGATAGCCTATGTTCCCACCACACCCAGCTATATGTTAACTTTATAAGAAGGACGAATACACTGCATATGTGTGTACATATGCACACTCTCAGTGCAAGATGGCAATTGTGTTGAAAAAAAAAAACAAAAGAACTTTTAAACTACATTCAATAATCTTCATATTCACAAACAATAATACTTTACTAGAATAATACAGTTTAAACATAGTAACAAGCAGAAGAGGAAAGATGTTAGAGGACAGAGGCTATAGCAGGCACACCCTTTTCTGGAAGATAAATATGAAGATGCCTTTTCTTCCCAGTTAATCAACAGGCTAATGGCCATCTGCAGAGGCCAGGCCTGGTACACACCTGCCAGTCCAGCTACTCAAGAAGCAGAGGCTGGAGGATCTCAAGTTCAACACCAGCCTGGCAAACTCAGGCTCTGTCTCAAAATAAAATCAAATGGGGGCAGTGGGGAAGCAGCTCATGATAGAGCACTTGGTTCAATCCCAAGCACTGAAAATAAATAAATAAATAAAGCTTGGGAGTAGGGCCTAACACAGTCAATGCTTTCAGTGAAAAGTTTTCAGTGAAAAAAAAAAATGACCAGGACAACAGTGAAAAGGAAAAACAACACATGACAAACCCTGAGAGTATAATATAGCGGAAAGTTACTGAAAGAAGCTAATCAGCCAGGCACAGTAGCCACGCCTGTGGTCCTAGAAGCTAGGGAGACTGAAGCAGGAGGATTGCAAGTGGGAGGCCAACCTCAGCAACTTAGTGAAGCTATAAGTAACTTAGTGAGTCCCTGTCTCAAAACAAAAAATAAAAAGTACTGGATACAGCTCAGTGTCGTGGAGCCTTTGTGTGAGGCCCTGGGTTCAATCCCCACTACCACACAAAATAAACAAACAATAAGAGACAATAAATATCCAAGGAAAACTCGGCAGACTTTTTTTTTTTAAGTTCTTTTTGTAACTGTAGATAGACAGCATGCCTTTATTTTATTTGTTTATCTTTATTTGGTGCTAAGGCTCACATGCTAGGCAAAGTCTCCATCACTGAGCTAAAGTCCCACCCCTCAGAAGACTTTGATTAACAATCTGAGTGAGCAGCAGTCCTCAAGCATAACAAAACTTAGATTAGACTGAAAACCTGACTCTATAAAATCAACACTCTGTCAGAAGAGGAAAGATGTTGGGACAGAGGCTACAGCAGGCACACCCTTCTCTGGAAGATAAATATGAAGATGCCTTTTCTTCCCAGTTAATCAACAGGCTAATGGCCATCTGCAGAGGTCAGGCCTGGCACACACCTGCCAGTCCAGCTACTCAGGAAGCAGAGGCTGGAGGATCTCAAGTTCAACACAGAAGCAAACTGCGTACATATTTACAGCTTTGTCACAAAAGCCTACTTTTATTTTAAATATGTAAAAGCTCCTTCAATTTTCTACAATTTGAAAAAAAAATCAAAATCAAACAATTCCAAGAGAAAATGAGGCAAAGGATACAAACAGTTCATTCACTGGAAAGGAAATGTAAATGGCTCTGAAAACAGAAAACACATTCACTCTATCAGATTCAATTCTTTACCTATTAGATCAACAAGAATTGAAAACTTAGTGTATTAAAACTAAATGTGGCTGGGCGCAGTGGCACATGCCTATAATTCCATCGGCTCTGGAGGCTGAGACATGAGGATCAAGAGTTCAAAGCCAGCCTCAGCAACTTAGCAAGGCACTAAGCTACTCAGTGAGATCCTGTCTCTAAATAAAATACAAAATAGGGCTGGGGATGTGGCTCAGTGTGCCCCTGAATTCAACTCCCAGTACCAAAAAAAAAAAAAAAACTAAATGTGGGGGCTGGGGTTGTAGCTCAGTGGTAGAGCGCTTACCTAATGTGTGAGACACTGAGTTTGATTCTCAGCACCGCATATAAATAAAGGTCCATCGACAACTCAAAAAAAAAAAATATCCACATGTGCCAGGTGCAGTGGCACACATCTGTAAATCCTAGCAATTTGAGAGGCTGAGGAAGGAGGACCTCAAGTTGGAGGCTAGTCTCAGCAACTTAATGAGACCTTAACTCAAGTTAAAAAATAAAAGGGTGGGAGGGATGTGGCTTAGCGGTTAAGCGTCCCTGGGTTCAATCCCCATTACCAAATAAATAAACTCACTCTCCCTTAGGCTACTTCTGGAACTGGCTGCTACAGATATTCCACAAAATGATACATAAGAAGAACTTGTGTAGTGTGTATCAGCGAAAGACTGAAAACGAAAACGGCCCTGAGCAGAGGGCCAGAGTAAATAGTCAGAACATTCACCGGGCGGAACTGGCTCGGCTTTGTAAAGGCGAGGCCGCGCCAGGGGTCGTCCAGGGTGGAGCTCCGGGGCACTGTGACAGCGGGGCGGGACGTGTGTGTCCAGAGTGCTTGCACTTGTGCTTAGACCGGGCAGCGGGCCCGCGCTCGCCCTCACGCAGACAGTCGGGAAAGGCACGGCAACAGCAGTTGCCTCCGCGAGGGACCCTGGAGGCCCGGGTGCGTCCTCCACCGCGTGTGGTTTTAAGGCTCGGTGCCACTCTGGCCGGCTGAGCAGCGCTCCACACCTCGGCGCCGGGCGGGGCCCCGGGGCTCGGTTCCGGAGAGGCTGAGCCGGGGCCCCGGCGCGCACGGCCACCGCCACCGCAGGAAGAGGCCGTCCGCGGGCAGGGGCAGCAGCGGCGGGCCGTGCGGGCGCCGGGGTCCCCGCGGCCGCGGCCGGCCCACTTACTTGTCTGCGCCGCGGGGTGCTCCCGGCTTCTCTGGAAGGGGTACCTGAAGAGCAGCTTATTGCCCCTGCTGCCCGAGCTCACCAGAATCACGCTGATGGGGCTGGTGTTGTCCCCCATGCTGCCTGGGGCGGGGCGGCCCGACAGGACGCGCGGCCAGGACACGCCCCGCGCCCGCCGCCGCTGTTCCCGCGCCGCGCTCGCGAGACTTCCACCAAGTCCCGCGCGGGCGGCCGTGTGCGCAGGCGCGAGTGCCCCGGGGCCGGCGGCACTGCCAGGCGTTTGACCTGGTGCCGGCGACGCAGGTTTCTGCGATGGCAGAGTAGCCCACTGCGGGGGCGGGGGGCGCGATGGCCTAATCCTAGCGACTCAGGAGGATGGCAGGTTTGAGGCCAGCCTGGGCGATTTAGCGAGGCCCTGCCTTAAAAAAAAAAAAAAAATCCAAAGGGCTGGGAATGTAGCTCAGTGGAATAGCGCCCCTGGTTCAGCGCCCAGACCGCGAAGAAAACTAACGCATCTCTTTGGCAGGAAGTTGAAACGTACAACTATAAAATTACCCAGGAACAGTAGTGAACACCTGTAGGCACAGTAGTGAACACCTGTAGGCACAGTAGTGAACACCTGTAGCCCCATCTCCTGGGTAGACCCACGCGGGACTGCTGGAGTCCGGGAGTTTGGGTCCAGTCTGGGCGGCATATCCAAACCCTGTCTCAAAAAATAACAATAAGCAGCCAGAGTGGTGGCACACACCTGTAATCCCAGTGGCTTGGGAGGCTGAGGCAGGAGGATTGCAAGCTCAAAGCCAGCCTCAGCAACCTAGTGAGGCCCTAAGCAACTCAGTAAGACCCTATCTCTAAATAAAATACAAAATTGGGATGGGGATGGTGGTTCAGTAGTTGAGCACTCCTGAGTTCAATCCCCTGTACCAAAAAAAAAAAAAATGCATTTTTAATTTTTTTCTGAAATTTAAAAAAAGGAAAATAGTGTCTTTCTTTGGTTTTCCCTGAGAAAGAAAATGGTACCAGCTGGTTATTTGCCACTGGCGAGCACTGCCTTCTTTTTCTTGGGGGTTTTGTCCTCTGATGGTGTGAATGAGTTCTTAGCACAGCCTTATCCCATCTCAGGTCTTGATGTAAAAGGAGGCCTGAGGTTCTCCCATGCTTGTCCCCAAAGTCCCTGGAATGGAAAGGAGGGTGCAGGAGCAGGAGGCCTGTGCCTGGGATGATGGCCTGTTGTGGTCATAGGGGCTTTTTGCCAGCCATGTGGCAAGACTATGGCTCAGGCTCCCTCCTCTGATTTCCCTGGTGGTGCTGCTCATTGGGCAGACCCTTGGGGCTCCAGCCCAGCAATCTCTGGACTAGGGGAAGGGCCAGACATGGAGGAGGCCATCATTCCCCCAGTTATCCTCTCAGGGCCTACTTCCTGCCACAACCTTCACAGCACTATGGATGGTTTACTTCAGACTAGTAAATGGCAAAGATACTGGCATTGGTGCCAAATGCAGGAAGATCATGAGCTCCCATCCCACAGAAGTCTAGGGTGCACCCTCCCAGGCTGCCTCCCAGGGCTCAGTACAGGACCCGTGGTGCTTGTTGGAGGGTGCCAGCACCTCCCTGGCAGCCTCACCAGCCCCACACTCATGTACCTCATCAGCTGTTAGAGACCTCATGAGAAACTAATGTGACTCCATTTTTGAGGAACCAGCCTCTACCTCAGAGCAAAGCTTATCCAAGGAAGCGGGCGTTACCCTTGTCCTTGGAAAAACCCACAGAGCTCTCCTAAGCACATACCCACCCAGCTGAGTTGTCTGTAAATAACAGGAGAGGTCTGAGGCACCAGGTGTCCCTGACTCAGTTAGGTAGTGAGAACCCATAGCAACCCTCCTAGCAACCTCTAATCAGCAAGAGACAGGGAAGATACCTGGAATGCCAGATGACCCCCAAGTAGTTTATGGTGGTTGATAACATGTTGGGAAACCATGTAGTTCAGCACGTACACCCCTTGTGGCCTAAACCAATCAGTTCAAAGGAATTCCCCTCTTGTACTAACCAATCACCCCTACCAAACTTGTTCCCTGCCAGTGAATGTGCTAATCTATGTTAAGAGTTGTTGTTTGACTTTCCCGAGGTATGGAATGATTTGCTGTGTGATGTTGTGACACATAGAGTATCCCCAAAAACCTATAAATCCTCACTGAACAAAGGACTGGGACTCAATCCCTGGGACCGCTGCGTTGGGAACAGTTGTGAGTCCAGGCTCGAGCTTGCAATAAAGACTCTTGTGTGATTGCATCGGATTCGGCTCCTGGAGGTCTATTGGGGTCCCATGAATCTGGCATAACAGTTACAGCTCAGGGCTGGGGATGTGGCTTAAGCGGTAGCGCACCCATCTAGCATGCGCGTGGCCTGGGTTCAATCCTCAGCACCACATACAAACAAAGATGTTGTGTCTGCCGAAAACTAAGAAATAAAATGTTAAAATTCTCTCTCTCTCTCTCTTTAAAAAAAAAAAAACAGTCACAGCTCAGGACAGTGCCCTGGCTTGAGGGGCAGGGACCCCCACTTTGGACTGCAGCTCCTCAACCAGCAAAGGTTTGGAGTAAATGGTTTTGAAATGCAGCCCTTACTCTAAGCTCTCACATTGTTTCCTGGATAAGAAACTGCAAGGCAGTAGGATACACCCTCAGAGTCTTCTCTGCTAAGGATAGACACCTCTAGAAGTCTTCCTTATTTTAAATTTAAATAGTTTTGATAACCTGCTTCAATGAAAGAAACTAGAAAGAAGTGCACTTTTGGAAACTGAAACCCCCAACCTTCCTCCTAGCCTGGGTGCCCCTGGGGTGGAGTAGGAGGCCACTTAGAAGCTGGGCCTTATCAGTCTTTACACTTGGGTTGCCAGAGGGGTAGGTGGGGCAGACAGACATATCTACTACAGTCTTTTCCACTGTGGTGTTCCTACCCCACCAGAGAAGAGCTCAACAGTGGCAAGAATAATGTTAAATTCTGTACCATGTGCTGAGCTCCTGCAGTGACAGATGGCCCTTCCTAATGCTGACTATAACCCCCAACATGAAGGTTAAAACAGTGGAGCTGGTACAGAGCAATAGTAACAAAAACAGCATGGTACTGGTACCAAAACAGGCGGGTGGACCAATGGTACAGAATAGAGGACACAGAAACCAATCCACAAAAC